CCTCGGCTACCACCCCCACCCCCCGATTTTTCAAATTTTGCCCCTCTTCTGCTGCTAAAAAAAGCAGCTTGATCCTCCCAGCCAGTAAATTTTTGCCTCCTGATCAGACCATGACACACATCCCGTTGAAATTCGCCCCCAATAATCATTTTAAACACCTCCGAAGAGGAGGAAGCAAATCCTACGAAGCACTGAGGGCAGAGAGAGGGCAGCGGCTACAGCGAAGGCTACTGACTTTGCTCAGTTCGGGTGCGCATGCTCAATGCACCCAAAGTCGCAAATTTGGAAAAGTTAGTGTTTTGCTCGCTGCTCTCTGCCCAGCCCGTTGAAATTCGCCCCCAATAATCATTTTAAACACCTCCGAAGAGGAGGAAGCAAATCCTACGAAGCACTGAGGGCAGAGAGAGGGCAGCGGCTACAGCGAAGGCTACTGACTTTGCTCAGTTCGGGTGCGCATGCTCAATGCACCCAAAGTCGCAAATTTGGAAAAGTTAGTGTTTTGCTCGCTGCTCTCTGCCCAGCCCGGAACATCCGCGGGCGGGGCCAGCTGCACCCAACGTTCAAGCCCTTGTGCCCTGACGGTGCGTGCGCGCGGAAACGTTTTATCTGCAGCCCCTGCAAACCCGCCGCGCCCTGCCTGGCTCTAGAGCCCGGAGAATCCCTGTTCGTCGCCTGCGTCTGCTCCAAGTGGCCTAGCTCCCGCTGCCAAGCAGGGGCAGGAAACCAAGGGCCCAGGAGCCGCACATGGCTCCTAGCCTGCCTGGATCTGGCCCCTGACCATCTGGGAACACCACCACCCCCATATTGGGGAGCTTGCACTGGCCCCAAACTCCGAAAAGGTTCCCTTTTTAACGCCTTTTAACATGAACTCAGAAAAAAGTTACGCTTAGGTTATGCCTAGGCTGCAGCTCTTTTCTGGTATAAGATGCCCCAAATGCCTCCTGGCCCTATGGGCAACCCTCCCTGCACCCCTTCCTTTGCAGCCACACCCAGCAGTGAACGGGGAATTCTTTCTCGCTTCACTGTTTTTATGTCAGGGGATTTGCAACTTTCTCCTTCTGTGCATGTGTCTTGCTCCTAATCTGCATGTGACACTTTTTCTCTTCCCTCCCCCCCA